TTCCCCCAAAACCAGGTTCCCTCAAGCCTCTGGAGCAGATTTGGGGGTCACACGGGTGGCTGTGAGAAGGAAGAGAAATCTATTACACAAGTTGTTCATTTGTTTGTTTTACCATATAGATACAGTGGGATTCATTCCAGTTTATGAATGGAGTTTTACACTGAATTTTCAGTGCTGTTTTTAAGATATAATGTAAGGACAATCCTTTCACAATGTATAGCCTCTCAAAAACACACACAACTTGGGAATTGAGAGCCATGCCAAGGATCATATTCTCAATGAGCTGAGAATTTCAGTTTTCTCTCAGAATCTTGACAGAATCAGGTCAATGTAACTCTTGATTCCTCTAAATTTAAAAGGGAACAAAAAGCTGCATAAGTGGGGCATTTCCTATTGAAAGCAACTGAACTAAAAGCTGCTTCATATTTTTCTGTTGGAGTGGAAAGCATGTAAAGTGAGAAAGAAGATAGGAATCACCATAGAACTGTTGATGTGAGGAAACATGTGCTTCAAATAGATCATTGGAAGCAATTCTTCAGTATACATCCACTGCATGTTTGAGGCACATAATTCATTTTTGCAATGCACAGAATAAAATACCAGTGTAGCCATGGCAAGCACAATTAATTTTGAAAAAACAGGCCCATAGTCTGGGAAGTACTTCTGGATCAAACTCTTGCTGGAATTTCAAGGCTGGGAGCACCTTTTACTAGCCCCAGCTAGTATTTCAACTTTGGATGCCCTCCTTTATCAACTGCTGTGATCACTGAGACCATCAGGATGAGGTGCTCCTGGGGGTTTTGCAAAGACTACAGACTGTTTAGAATCTACTTCAAGTAGAACTTTCTGTATACCGGCTCCCCTGTGAAATTCTTTGCCAGCTGATGGTGGAGAACATAACTTTGCTTGTCTTTCAGTGTCTGCTTAAGATTTTTTTTAAACTTTCCAGAATGATGAACACTTTTAATAGAGCTTGATTTTAAATATCTGCCTTCCTCTGTATGTTCTTTCCCCACCGCTTTTACTATCCACTGCTCATGAATCTTTTTACATATTGAGATTTCTATCTAATTGTAAATAAGTGCAATAAATATATTCCAACTAGAATTTGGTAAGAAGTTGACTGTTACATCAACAAAATTACATTTTTTTTGTTACGTGCTGTCAAGACCTTTCCATGTAATGCCATCCAAAGTGTCCTGCCCTTGGTAGCCCTGTTCAGCTCTTGTAAACTCAAGCCTGAAGCTTATTTTTTGGAATTGATTCATCTCATAGCTAGTCTTCCTCTCCTTCTGTCTTCAACTTTCTCTGGCATGATTGTCTTCTTCAGTGAGTCTTGCCTCCTCATTATGTGCCTGAAGTACAGTATCCTCAATTTTGTCAGTTTTGGTTCCATACAATCATAGAATGGTAGAATTGGAAGGGGTCCTAGGGCCACTGTGTCCAACCGCCTGCTCAGTGCAGGATTCCAAGATAAACCATTCCTCTCAGATGGCTGTCCAGTTGCATCCTGAATGCCTCTAGTATGAGAACCCACAACCTCCCTAGGTAATTGGTTTCATTGTTGTACTGCTCTATCAGTCAGGAAATTCTTGATGTTCAGCTGGAAACTTCCAGGGCAAGTTCTAACTTAATTTGTTCTAGGACTTGTTTGTCAGTCCAAGGTATTCACAAAGCTCTCCTCTATCACCATGTTTCAAATGCATCCATTTTCTCCTCTCAGCTTTCTTTACTGTTCAGCTTTCACACCCATTTCACACAGAGTGAAATTGCATTTTTAGCCACCTAAAAATGACATCTTGCTTTGTATATAAAGGTGCCTCAAACAGGCTTTCTTCAACAGTTTAGTTCTACTTGGCAGTATGCCAGGTGGTGATGCATTCTGTATCATTGCAGGAGAAAACACTTCTTGAAATACTAGTTTCTGACTCACATTTTTACATCTGAAGGGATATGGCTGTAAATCACTCCATTTCTTAAGTGTTAAGAAAGAGGACTACTTCAGAGAAATAAATGGATTTCTCTTTTGCTCCATCTCCAGCAATTTTATAATTTTTCTCAGAGGTGATAGATTCTGATAGATCAGAAGATCAGATTCTGATCTTTCCAGAGTGATGAAAGTCTTAGGGCCCTGAAATCTTGCATGTTTGTAGCTCAAGGCTGAGGCTTACTTATCAAAAAACAAACCCAACAAATGCAGCCATATTGATGAGGTTATATAAGTAGTCATGCAAAACAATTTGTGTGTTTGCATTCCATCACAGCTTTAGCTATGACATATTGCTTCTCATGCTCACATATCTAGGAAATACGCCAAAGGCAAAGTCTTATTTGAGAAGACGCCAATACATACAAGTGTAAAATAACCCTGAAAATAGTTTCTAAGTGCAAACAGAAACCAAAACTTACAAAACTTCTAAATGGTAAGAAAATGAACTTGTTGAATGGCATCTCTAATCTCAGCTCTAGGTTACACAAAATGACCAGGTTGGCATGTCACAACAATTCAAGGCTTTAAAAAGCTTGTGTGTTTTTAACACGAACACATTCTGATATAGACTGTCTGATTATGCCCATTGCAAGCCTAAAGTGCTGGATTGTTGTGTCATGCAAGCCAGGCCAATGAGGAGTCTTTGATGGATTTTTCATCAACACTGCAAGTTGCATTCATCCTTGCAGTGGAACGTGAATGTGATCTGTAACGCAGATTCAGTGTGCCTCTAGTTGTTCATCTTCTTCATGGGCCCTGCACCTACATCTAAGTTTTTCTCCCTGTTGAATCCACACAATGGAGTGGATTGAGGTCTGTATTTTGGGATAGGTTTTAAATGAATGGAGAAATAAGCTGCTCTTCCAGTAGCAAGATAAACTTCCAAAGGTTCTAGTAAAGCCCAATGCAGCACTTGCAGATATTGCAACAGCAGTAGCAAGTTTACAAATGATGGAGAAATTGGGTGGGCGGGTGGTTTAGGGTGAGGGTAGCCATATGTTCACACTGATTATCTGGAGATTAGAAAGTCAGCTGTGCTACCATTTTCACAGAAGTACATATGAACCTGTTCATCAATTTATATACCACATTTGAGTGCTCTTACTGCAAGAATACAAACGAGAAATCAAATTTAAATTGTTGGCAATTATGCTTTTTTTTTTTTTGGCACAAATAGATCAATTTATCCTGCAATTAATGCATGTCTTTAATGTGACTCACTACCTTAGATCATTCTATCTTAGATCATGTGTCATTCTAAATGTGTCAGACTATAACTTCCATAAACCTTGACCACTGGGCATCATGGCTGGGGCTTACAAACATTGTAGTCTACATCTAGAGGGAACACAAATTGGGGAAGGCTACCTTAGATCATATACCTGATCAATTATGCATTTTTTCTACAGAGTTAATGGAAAAGCAGTATCTTTGGAACTTTTCTTTTCTTTTATGCAAAGCATATAAAGCTAATGAGACAGCTTCAGACTGTCTGCTACACCATCTGTAAATATGTGCACTTTTGACAAACTAGTGCTGAACATTGTCAGTTCTTGTGTGCCAGGGGAATGCTGTTTCCTATCTTTTCACAAGGATGGACATGTTAGTTGGTTATTTCCAAGTTAGTGCATAAAGATGGATGAATCCAGTTGACACTTCCTGCATTATATTGGCTTATTTCCAAATTTCATTACGGTTAGTTTTTTGCTCTCAATTTACAAATTGCTGATTTGTAAATCTGAATGCATAAAACTACACAAGAGCAACTTAGTTTTCCTGAAAGAGCTGATGAACAAACTATTTGATAGATGACTTCAGCCACTAATACATGCAAATTGTAAAGCAGAGATGTGAATTTCCACACATCTCTGGACATCTATCAGGAAGTCATGGCCAACTCCAGATTCCTAGCATTTGCTTACTAAATTTTTCTAAGTATCTGTAGATGCACCTCTTTCATTATCATTAGATGTAAGTAGGTGGCAAACACAACTATGATGTGAATTGTGACATGGCTAAGATCAGAAGATGTCATTGGTAAAAGTGAAATGTTGCAAAATACAGAAGACCATGTCAGCTTCAGTGAAGGATGAACAAGATGCTTTGGAGGTACTAAAAAGAGCAACAAGCATGAAAAGACAGGAACACACCACAGCGAATCATCCAGGAGGACCTACCATTTCACAGGCTAGTGGCTGAAGAGAAACTGAAGTAGCCTGGCCACTTTATAAAGGTTTGGATATTATTCTCACACAATATACAGTATGTTCCACTGAAGAAATACCTACCATACCAATTTACCATTATATGCTAAAAAAACATGCTTAGAAAAATACTGCATAGGGAGTGGTTTTAATAAATTGAGGTGGTGTTATAAAAGAGAAAATTGATTTGATATGTATTTGTAAATGACCGGTTTTTAGAACAGTAGAATCAAAAGCAGTCAATTTGGTCAGCCACTATTACCTAGCAGTTTCCTAACAGTTTCTCTGGCCCACTAGAATGGCAAGGTTATCATCTATACAACCTATTAAACTGTTTTGTTTTCAGTTACCAAGTCTGGCGTTTTATGTGTAATGAGAAAGAAAGCATGCTGGTTTCAGGGGTGCTGCTAAAAATCCTTGTGAATGTCTAATATGGATCATTGCAAATCAATAAACTGTGTGAAGACCATACACTTCTATATACCACTTCTGCTATATACTCACCCCCCATGCAGCTAAGAAACCTGTAGATTTTCTTTTATACCAGTAAAATAGGATTTTGTGTTGTATGTATGGTTCATTCCTTTACATGCTATACATTCTTTTTACTGCATTGATTATTACAATGTTCTCACCTTCAAACTCTCTAATGAAGTTATATTGCAAAACATGAACTTCCCTCAGTATTTCAAGAGTATATAGAACATGAAGGATAAGATTCATGATTTCTCTCTTTTCTGTGCAAAATGCAGTGAGCAGTTGCAAGGTTTCCCCCCTCTCCCCCGGCCTCGATATTGAATACTCACCCAGAAGGCTCAAAGCACAGAATGCTGTCCAGAAAAGTTGCCTCTCCTTCACAGTTTTAAAACTCCAGAGTAACATCTTTCACAATGGTGAGCAGTTAAGCAGTGCCTATGAATAAAATGGAATGTTTCTCTGTGTTTCTCTCCGGTTTTAGTTTTTATGCACTGCTGTTGAGGTTTCAGTGTTGCTTCCTTTTAGCTCGAGCTTTTCGGAGGTCAGTACATTGTGGGATGGGATTCCCTTCGAAAAGATGTGCTTGTGACTCAAGATGGTGAGGTGGAGTTTTCTGAAGTCTGCTCTCATAGCTTTATAGAGTTGAGAACAGTCTCTCAACATCACATTGTTAAACTTCCCCCCTACAGCTTAACTCTTTCCTGGAAACTGCTTTCTCCCTCTGAAGACAGGGCATCCCTAGAATTCAAAACCATGTAAACAAGTGTGAGCAAACTCCTTCAATGTGGACACTTTATTTGCATATTTCTTGCATACCACAGAAATATGCTTCATTGCATTTTAAAAACAATGCACCATGAACAATTATGGGAATTCTGAGAAAAATGAACTATCAAGAATTCAATCCTGGCTCTTAGTACAGGAAAGAGAGAGAAGTAAAAACAGACAAAAACACAAAGAATGAATAACTTCATGTGAACTAACAGCACATTAACACAGTGAGGGGATGTTGTCTGTAGCTGGAAACGTTGTGAGACTGAAGCATTTGAAATGAGCATCCTGCAAGCAAAACATTATGTATGAAGCCATTGGAGAGGTCCTGTTTGTTTGGGTTTTGCATAGGGGACAATGTATCATCACTGTCTTTGGATTCTTCCTGTTCTTGACTAAATAAGGTTAAGGACATTGGAAACATTGTTCACCTCTGAACAACCATTCTTTAAGTAAATTGTACTTTTTAAAAGTTTCATGTTTAGAGGACACACACTGGAAGGAGAATGAGATCAGGGATCACATATGAACTTAGGAAGCTGCCTTAAGGAATGGTTCTCCTAACCCAGTGCTGTTTACTGTGACTGGTAGCAGCTGTCCAAGATCCCAAGCAAGGCATATTCCATCAGCTGATGCCTCATTCTTTTAATTAGGAATACCAGATAGAACTAGGGACTTTCTGCATGGAGTAAGTTGTAGCCTCATCTCTGACCTACATGCATTCAACATTTCTTAGCAGATCCTATGCAGAAAATGTGTAAGTGTATATAGTCTATAGGCTGTACACACACCTTGCAGAAAGAAGAATGATGTTTTGATTGTTCAGAGATTGTTCAGCCTATGTGTAGAACTTGTATGCAGAAGTTCTGCTGAATGCACTGAAGACAGACATGCTGTAGTTCTTCCTTTCCCCTTATGAGCAGGGCCAGCCTTACCGTGAGGCAATTGTCTCACACAGCAGATCCCTGGGGATAAGGACAGGCAGCAAGCTCTTGGATGCTGCAGCTGTATGTGTCTCTGTCCTGCATCCCCTAAGGTACCTGTTTCCTTGTATGCAATAGAAAAAGCCAGAGATGAAGTACAAGTCAACTACCTGTCTTCTGTACATGTAATTGCAGGAGGGGAGAGCATGGAACCATTGTGTCCTTCAGCTCAGGCTGAATCATTTCCTGAGCCAGATCCACTTCTGAACCAAAAGGATCTTGGTTTACCTTGTGCCATGAAGTCATCTCCAACTTATGCCAACCCTATGAATGCATGCCTTCAAAATGGCCTGTCCATGATAGTCTTGCTCAACTCTTGTAAACTCAAGGTTGTCACTTTTTCCAAGGATTTGACCCATCTCATAGCTAGTCTTCTTTCCCTTCTGCCTTCAACTTCTCTAGTACAATTATCTTCCTTAGTGAGACTTGCCTTCTCATGATGTGCCAAAGTACAACAGTCTCCATTCATTTTTATGATTTTAGCTTCCAGGAAAAGTTCTGACTTGATTTGATCTAGGTTTCATTTATTCATCTTTCTGTTGGTTCAGGGTATTTGTAAAGCTCTCCTCCAGCACCATGTTTCAAAAGCATCAGTTTCTTTCCTGTCAGCTTCCTTCACTGTTCAGCTTTCACACCTATACACAATTATTGGGAATATAATAGCACAGATGGTCTTGCCCTTGATCTCCAGTAAAAGTCTTTATGCCTGATGATGTTTTCTAGTTACTTCATTGTGGCCCTTCCAAGTCTCAGTTTTCTAATTTCTTGGCTCCACTCTTTCTTTGAGTTGATGACTGAGCCAAGATATGCAAAATCTTCCATAACTTCAATGTCTTCTTTGTTGACCTCAAACATTTATCTGGTGAACCATCCTGGAAGTATATCCTGAAGGTCTATATATATATTTATACAATAAAACACAGTAAAATATCTATAATTTCTTGACTCTTGTAGGTTATCACCAAAGAAGCATTTAGTTGGTAGTTGGTAGTACTGATCTCTTTTAACTTCAGCCTGGGAATTAACTAATAGTAGAGTCAAAGGATCTTTCCTGATTTTCAGTAGTTTGGCACAGGACTACCTAGCTGTTGTATGTAGCTACAGTTCAAAATGACAAACCTTCATCTATCTTCCCTTCCCTTCTGAAAGGTGTAGTAGAACGTATTTGTACGGCCTGGTCTGATGACTGTAATAATAGGATGAACTAAAGTGTTCTAAGAGTAGCTTTCAGATGAGGCATGTATGGTGTGATGCTTTTCCTACCTTTACAGAAGTTTACAGAGTAACCAGTCAACAATACCTTATGACTCTTCTACACTTGCTTATGACTTCTTCCACCTTTTATTTACTCACAGAAAGCTTGTTAAAAGGAAAAATATGGAGCAGCTGCATCATGCTTTCTGGAGACTTGAAGCACCCAGGATAGTTCCCTACTCCCTTAAACTGTGGAAACAGCTCTATATTCACATTTCTTTACTGTAAGAGGGGGCTAGTGAAAGAAGAGGTTTTTGACTGTAGAAACTTCCACATTTGAAGGAAATCATTAGGGTAGGGCACAGATCTTTTCAGGATTTTTTCCTTCACCTTGTAATATAAAAAAATCCAAAGCTAAAATTACTTGGCAGTCCTAAAACTTATGCAAGAAGTCCTATCCATGTAAAATGTTCAGAAGCAGGTTGTAAGTTTTCTAATAATTAATCAATCCAAGGAAATGAATAGACTTAAAGAATAATTTTGAAAATTATTAGTGACTATGTTCCCAGTTATACTTAAGCAACTGGAAATCAATTCCACCAATTCCTAGCTTTTATTAGAGGACATCACCAAGAACCAAAAACTTGCATTAACAAAAGATATGTCTAGATTTCTCAAAAGAACAACACCTAGTATATATTTTTCTTGCATTTTAGCTTTTTAGCAAATTGATGAAAAGAAAGGAAACATTTCCCAGGGAAGTAAAACCCAGTCTGTAGCAGAATGCTTAATGTTACACCTACAGTTGAAATGACAAAACTGTGATGCTCCAACTTAGTCAGTTTCTAATTCTAGAAAAAGATACAGAACAAATACATCTGATAAAGTAGGCTGTTTCCTGTGAAAGGAACCAGTCACATCCGAATCCGGTTGTGCTGCAATGCATATTTGGAACTCCTGCCTCAGGGTGTGAGGTTTAATCAGTTTGTGTGTACAAAAGAATGCACAGACAGATTGGCTCTGTCACTTATAATGAATAGAAGTGCCTGTATCAAGCACAAACAGCTGGATCAGGGTGTTACTATCTAAGATGTTAAAACATCCATTGTCCAATAATCCATTCTGAAATGAAACATGAATACACAGATTAAAGAAATGGCAATATACCATTCACTGTCACTGAAAATATGTTTAGGCTATGTTCAAACCACAGCCAGAATTACTCAGAATGCTGGCTTATTAGTGGGAGTGACCAACCTGACTAGAAATGAAGCAACAAAAACTTTACCTTACATTCAAACATGGACCCTTGGGGCTAATCCACACAGGGGTTTTACTGGTATTGTAATGCCCGGCTCACTGGCATGTCACACCATGCACACCTCAAACCATTTTCGCTACACTATTTCTCCCTCAATGTTCTGTTGTTTTCCAAACTAACTTCATGATGCCTTTTCCTGCTGTTTGCAGTTTCCACACACTACAAACAGGTGTGATCCAGCAACTCTTACTAGCAGAAGTAGCATTAAAGTGATTCCTCCCCTATCCCTGTTTCTCTCCTCCTTGTTTGCTCTCTGCTGTTTCCCTACACTGATTTGCTTGGGGTTTGAGGGAGGACCCGCACCCCCTGTCAAATGTTCCCTTCCTTTCTCATGCACTCTAGCATGGCTGGATGGAAAGAGGAGGAGAGACACACAGGGTTGGGTAGCAGTAAAAGCAAGAGGTTGTTTTTCTGAATGCTGCTGTGCAAGAGTAAATGAGAAGACGAAATGGCACTGGGGGTGAGTCTAGGCCTTTGCCAGTTGTTGAAGGTATGATCAGAAGAAAAGGAGGTGAGAAAAGGAGAAAAGGTTTTTCTATCATTACTCAACCTCCCACCCAAACAGAAAACAAGGAAACAAAATGACCACAATAGCACACCCAGATAATGTGTGCTATTATATATATATATTGCTGTTTAAAAAGGCTTTCATAGATTTAAAATGTCAAAATTCATGTGTGTGTGCATATGTGCGTGACTTAAAAGTGTGAAACTTTTCAGTATAAAACACTGGCTTCAGTCACCAGGCTTTCCATCATTATAAAGCTCTCTTTATCAGTACTGCATGTGATGTTTTCCCTAATCCATTTTCTCATGCTATTTCAGCTCTTTTAGTCCAGAATTCCTGAGACTGAGTTCAGTGGCATGAAATATGTACATTTCTGAGTTTTCAGTATGCTTTGTGGATTGTCAAAAATGCTTTCAACAGCATGTGTACATTGAAAATGAAAAAGTGCATGAAAAGTGTAGTTTTGAAAAAGGTGCACAAATATGCTTTATTTAATAGGATAATATATACATTTCAAAGATGCATCCAGTTGATGCTTAGTATTAGAAAAAAATATGCACAAAATATGCCCAGATTTTCATGAAAAAAATCTTGCATTCTGATAAGAACTGGAACTGGATTTGGAGAATTTTGATGAGCTTGAGTTTTGTTGATTGGTGCATCCATACAGATTCTGACTTCATTTTTTCTGACCCAGCGAAATCCAAATTTTAATGGAAAACCGGAAAGCTATTTTTGTTACTAGATATCAGTGTGAAAATTCATTTGAATCTATTTAGGATTTATATTTGGAATAGGTAGAATGTATAGTTTTTGTTTAGTTGATATAAATTACACAGATAAAACCCTGTATATTTACTTATTATATTAAACTTAAATTTTAACAACTGGCTCCAAGAAGCATGAAAGTATGGGATTTTTATTTTTCTGTTTATATTGCTTTGCCTAAAAAGTATTCTACCTAAAAATACAGGCTCTTTAAGGTTTGATTCATAGATACTTTCTTGAAATTAAGAGAATGGGTGTATGACTCTAAACATGAAGGAAAAAAATAACTTATTTTATGTAAACAAGGAAACTGTGTAGTGCATTTTAGAATTTATATTTATTTAACAGTATAATGCTTTAATTTTAGCTTAGGACCAGAAACTAGCACTGCAGGGGAAACATCTGTTGCTATGATATTTTGCTTCGACTTTTAATATATAGTATCTTTATACTACTTTATACTTTTAAACCCAGCTGGCATGGTTCTGCAACAGGTATAAATACCCCAAAACATAGATGTCAGTGAAATATCATTTAGAAATAAAAAAGTGAGAGCTCTGTTCTCAGGATAGCTTTCAAATACCTGTTGCTAGGAAAATTCTAGCTTCTATCCAAATTTTAGAAAAAGATGAACAGGTTTGATTTTCATCTGATTTTCTCTACCCTCTTTCATTCATCTGCTACGAGGAAGGGAGAGGGAGTTTTAATATACCCTTATGCCCTGTCCAGTGGTACCCAGTGCAAAGAAGCTATGCATGGAGGCAACAGTGGGACTGCACTGCTGGTCTTGGCCCTGATAGCATGTGTGTCCCTGTCTGCATGTCCAGGGAGATGCCAGAGGGGAGATGCCAGAGCTGCACATATCACAGGAAGAATCAGCAGCACAGTTCTCTTGTGTGCCTTCTGTTACATGCATGGACAGAACAGCCAGTGTGGCGTAGTGCTTAAGAGCCTGGGACTGGGACTCAGATGACCTGGGTTCTAGTCCCTGCTCAGCCATGGAGCCAACTGGGTGACTCTGGGCCAGTCACAGACTCTCAGCCCAACCTACCTCACAGGGTTGTTGTTGTGCGGAGGAGGAGGAGGAGGAGGAGGAGGAGGAGATGTAAGCTGCCTTGAGCCCTTCGCAGGAAAAAGGCAGGATATAAATCCAAAAATGAAATAAAAATAAAATAAAATGGAGAGCCACTGGACAGGGCTTTACTTAGACATAGGATGAATGTCACAAAATCGGTGGACTGAAAGAGATTGGAAAGTCATGTTGGTCAGCAATTTGCCTTATGGCCCACACCTCTCATTTATATCTTGTGTATCAATTCTGCACTATACTATTCAACTACTTGCACCAGTTGTTTCTCCTTCAACTCACTACCTAATCGATTCACTATTCTACCTCTACAATTCACTATTCAATTCAACTATTTCTACCTAATTAATTAATTTTATTTGTACCCCGCCTTTCTACCAAGAAAGTGGCTCCTAAGGCTGCTTATCGGTATAAATAAAACTTGAGTAATACAATAGTAAAACACACACATGAGAACAGAATTAAAAACACAACAATAGCATAATAAAAGCCAGCATCCAAACCAAAAGACTAGCATATACAACAAAAACTTGCTTGAATAAAAGAGCCTTTGTCTGAAAGCAGAAGAACATCACAAAGGCAATGAACCTCAGTAGGAAGTCTGGGAACAACCACTGAGAGGGTCCTTTTTTGTGTTGCTACCGGATATGCCTTCGGAAACTCATATCTCACTCATATGCTAACATGCTAACGAAGACTCATATGCTAACATGGCAGAAACAGAACACTGAGGGACATGGCTGCATTGAACATGAATTGCTAAACTCCTCTTTCTAGGTTGCCCCTCCAAAAGAGACCAGAACCCCTGTAGAACAGTACCTCCCAGTCTCATCTCAGACCGATGCCTCAGAAGAATAGCATGGTGAGTGACACCGAGTTCTCCAAAGAATCCCAACAGCACCAAAAAGAACATATTCCTCACATAGGACGTTTAAGTTTTAAATGAGCAATGCAATACACAAGTCTGTTTCTGAAAGAATTGTCATGTAGGGTAAACTTTAGGAAGCAGTCTGTGTTATATTTTCCATATGGCTTTTTTTTACTGTCTTAATAAATACTCCAACATTTTATACAAACAAGCCTCAATTGATACAGGATAGAATCATCTAGTTTCAGCCTAAAGGTACTGAAATGTTCTTTCTTTTCTTTCTTTATTACATTTATACACTGCCTTTTTTCCTTTCAGGGAACTCAAAGTGGTGTACATAATTCTCCCCTCAATCTTATCCTAACAACAACCCTGTAAGGTAGGATGGACTGAGAGTCTGTCACTGACCCAAAATCACTCAGTTAACTCCATGGATTAGTGGAGACTAGAACCCACTTCTCATGAGCCCCAGTCCCATACTTTCAGCCAATATACTACACTGGCTCTCTTTTCCATTTGGTATATTCTAGGACATCTGAGCTTAAACAGAAGGCCTTTCTCCGCTCAGTGAATAACCACAACTTGACTCCTCTCATTCCAAGCTGACAGGCAAGCTTGGATCTATCTAATACCATACCCTTTTCAGAAATTAAGCACTTCATGCAAGTGATACACAGACCCTAAATAGTATAGAGGCACGAACTCTTGCAAGAGTTGGTGTGTACTCATTCCAACAGGGAAGAAGAATAATCTTACAGTAACATAAGAGATATTTGAGAGCCTCACCAGTAATCCCACTGATTTCATAACTGTAAAGTAACAACATCCCTGTGTCTTACAAACTGTTTTGGTAGCTTACATAAAATTACTGCCCACATAGTCATTCATTGGTATTTGTGTGAAACATGTCACCATTACATTAGTAATATTATAAAAGCATATAAAGCAAATCTTTAAACCACCCACAACACAAATGCAAGACTCTTCCACCCTAAGAATTTTATAGTCTTCCTGTTTTTGTACTGTGGAAGCAGGAGGGGAATTGGATTCAAGAAAGGCTATTAGAATTCTCTTTCTCACAGTCTGTCAGCACACAGAGCAGACATGCTTATGAGCTTTGGTACATGCCAGGCTTGTCCTCCACATTATCAGCTGCAACCTGTGACATTGGTTTCCAGCATAAAACATGAAGCCAGCTACAGCTCAATAATTTAAACCAGTTTATTAACAAAACAGCACAAGCTAAGAGGGTCAGCCAACAGAGCTCTATCTGCA